ATTCAATCTTGTAGTGCAATATGGGTGCCTGTGACTCCAAAAAAGTTTAGAAATGTCTGGAGTAAAAGTACTAATAACTAGTGAAGTATTTTAAATAAAAACAAAAAAAATAATCCAACCTTGCAAGTCATGAGGGGAAAAGTTGCTTGGTTGTGTCAGTGTGAGTGAATCCGTTTATACCTAAAGAGAAAGTTCTTCAAAGTCCTGCAATTAACAAAAATGTATTCCCAAAGAAAGGTCATAAAATTTGAGCTACAGCAAAACACAAAGAAATATTTTAATATAGCCACCTCATTTCTGGCCTCATTACTGGTACTAGTCTGTCCTCCAATGACTGATCCAAAAAATGATATAAGCTGCAAAGATGATGAAGTAAGATAAAAGGAATCAAGATATCAAACTCCTTTATTAGTTTTTATTCAAATAAAGAAATGCTACAAATGTTTGTTCTGACCCAAGAGCTCAATATTCATTATGAAAAATGAATATTGAGAAATCTGTTTTTGTGTTCTTTGTGTAACTTAGATGCTTACATAAGGTTAATACACTTGGTTGCTTTCATGTCTTTAGTCAATAGTTTTAATATTTTGTATTTTTTTCTGTTTCTATTTGAGATATCAGCTTTTTAAATAGCTTCTTGCTGTTCAATTCACTTTCTTTTACTTACTCTTAATTTTTCTCAAATCTTTTTGTGAAATTCTTAGTCATTTTCTTTTTTTTGGCCAATGATTTCTTTTTTCATTCTTCTCTGATCTATTTTGTAATTTCAAATGTTGTATTCTCACCACTCAATACTTTCATAATATCTGGTTTCTCGTTTGAGGGTATCACTTTCTTATGGCTCTGAGCAATCTTTATAAATATTTTCAGAAATATCAATGATTATACTGTTGTATATATTTATTTATATGATGAACAATCCTTGGGTTGCATAGTAAAATCTCTCACTACCAAATAAATATTTCTAATAAGAACAGTAAGTTAAGTGCCATATGTGATACATGCTTAGGCAATTATGTATCTTTTGATACATGACTCATGAGGCAGATTTTTTTTTCTGGCAGTAGGTTGCCATTTCTTTCTGTGGTAGATAAGTTGCCATCCAAGGCTATAGAATCTGGTTTGTCCTGCTATTTACTCATAGCTGGGGGGAGGGGAGGGGGGGAAGAAGAGGATTCATACTTTTCCCAAGGGTATTAGCATTATTAGCATGTAAGTGAATCTAATGGATTCGACTGGAATTTGAACACAGCTCTTCAATTCTTCAATTCCATTACTCCACCATGCCTCTAAGAAGAACAGATAAGCTAAAATTCACATGGTATATCATAGAAATATGAGTATATTCTGAAACTTTTAGCAACATTGCTTGGTTGATAGCAATATTATGAAAACATTGACTTAAATAATAAAATCTAACATAGTGTCTGTCTACAGAGACATTCTTGAACTAATCGTGTGGTTGGTAAATATTTTTATTTTATAGCAACATTTTATATCACTTGATCAAATTTTATATACACACACACACACACACATATGCTCTTTCTCATGTGTATAATATTTTTTTTTAAATTTCTAATTTCTCTATTCATATTGTGCCTTTGTTAAAAGAAACAGATTTGATTATTTCTTTGTTTTATTTTTAAAATTAAATTCATAATTTTTTGTATGATTATATCAAACTGAAATTAGAGATCAAATGAGTCATTGCCATTATGATGTTCTTTATTTATTTCCTTTGTTTCCTGTGGGAGGAAAAGATTTCATGTTCTTAATTTCTGATTTAATCTTGGTGAATTGTCCATTGATAAAATGATTAGAAACTATTTGATCTTCATTTCTGGCAAGCCTCTTTAAACAGACAGGCAGGCAACAAATATTTTTTGCAAAACTAATTTTGTTCTGCTTGTACCACTTATATTAATATCAAAAGACAAATTCTTTGTTAAGCAAAGATTATGAATCTTCTCAATTTAATTAAAGGAAGAAAGAAAATTCTTTGTAAGTAAGACTTCTTGTTCAGACAACTTTTCTTTAAATATTAAAGCTTTTCATTTTTCATCTTGTCTCAGTTTACTGATGTTTGATTAGAGAATAAAGTTTTTCTTCTAATCAAATATAACTTTAGTTCACAATCTATTCAGCTGTTAGTTGCAACTGTTGATACAGTGTGTGGCAGGATAACACACACAAGTCCTGGATTGTAAAACTGTTTTGGGTTAAATCACATGAGTGGTCATTAGTTGAATTAAATTTTATTTGTTTTTATCTGATTTTATTGAGCATCAAACAGCTTTTCATATTCTTAATGCTTATGAATTTTTTGAAGTGATATTTAACAAAACAAATATAACAAATAAAATTTTTAGTTTGTTTTATCTGGAAGCATTGAGGATCAGAGTATAGTATCAGTTCTGATTTAATTTAAATTTGTTATATTTTAGGATGGGAACATGAAAATAGATTAGCATAACATTCTCAAACTATGAAATTCAAACCTTTTTTCTTTATTTTCCTGTTAGATGAAATTATTTCTCTTGCTGTTATACAGATTGATTTTATTATAATAGTTAAAAATTAAATGACATTACTCTATAAAAATAATTGATTAAATTTGAACTTGATGAGGAATGAGTATTTAATCTTTTGATTTTCTTCATTTCAATTTACTGTCATTTTGGTAGAACAGTGAATTTTATTTAAAACTGCATTGGAAAAACACTTGTTCTCTAAATTCAGTTAGTAAATATTTGATTATATCTTTAATCATTTTAATTTTATGTGGAAAGAACAGGTAATAGTAAATGAGAAGAAAATAATAATCATGATAGCAAATGCAATTATAATAATAGCTGTCAAGATGGTGGATAAGATTGATGCATATTTTCAATTAATAAATCAAGTATTTGAATACTGATTTTCAAATAAGGCAAGTCCTACCCACTTAGTAGACTGGCACTTCACAATCTTCAAACACTTTTCTTTCCTTGTATTTCACCTTGTGCCAAACTAAGTTAAACTTTAATATCAATTTCTCCATTTTTAGAAATGAAATAATGTTCAAATCTGCATTTCTCACTGTACCTATTGTTTTGTAAATATTACAGACAATGGAATTTTAAATTGTTTTATTTGTTGCAATATTTTTGTTAATACACGCTTAAGTGTTAACACACAAAAAATAAAATTTTAAAAAAGCTGGAAAATACAGATTGTTTTCTTTTTTTTCCTTTCTCTTTTGAGACCTGGCAATTGCTGCTCCATATAAAATTCTAGAATAAAAAAAAAAAAAATAACCTTAAAGGTGGCGCCTACATAAATCTGGAGCCTTGTCAGATCATTTCATAGACATATTGCTTTTTTATCAGTAGTAGAACAAAGCATGGAAAAACAGGAAATAATGCAATTATTAATGATGGTGAACAAAGGTTTTTATTGCATCATGTAATATAAAGATAAAAAATATAAAAATAACAAGAACTATGACTGAGATTATAACAGAAGTACATCTGGATCTTCATGGTCGACAGGCATTTACACATCAGTAAAGTAATTTTCTTTGTTGAAATGAGCCATGACAATGCCGTGAATAACTTTCAACATTTATTGTAATATTGTTTGCTTTCTAGTACCTTTTAAAAAATTTTTTTTTTGAATCAAGCAGATATAACTTTTTGTGTTTATAAGTTTTTTTTGTTGAAATCCTGCAATAAAATTTCTTGTTTTCTTAATATATTTATCCATAGAAATCTTTTCTTCCTCTTCTTTATGATGATCTTTTTGTTGAACCATAAAAAAATGTTTTGATTCATTTTTTTCAAGGTCACACTTTAAAGGTTCTGTGACAATTCATAGAATACTGTCACTTGCCAGTGACATCTAAAAGTTGGTCTTCATAATTCTCTTGAAAAAGTTAGTGTGGACTAAATGGAGAACTGACGTGCTTACTCAGATTAATTGCCTTAGTGCTGTTAAGCACCTGCAGAATATTGTGCACCTGTGTGGAACAGGTCCATGTATGCAAATCAGATTGATCTGTTGCTTAATGTAATTCTGCCAGATCATTGTAGATACACTGCATTCCACACCTGCAAACATCACTTTAAATGTCACTTTCCCAGAGATATGAAAATATATTCCAGCAAAAGTTAAATAAAAAACCAAAGCAAAAAACATGTACTCACAGCACCCATTACACCTTGATGTGCCAGTCCCTAGCTAAATAGAATCACAGAAATGCATTGTCTAGCGTACACCAAATACATAGAATTATGGAGACAGATTTAAACATGAACTTAACTGAACACAGCAGTGCAAAAACCTATAGAAAGATGAATATTCGGAGTACATCTTACCAGATGGTTGTGACAAATTTTCAAAAGAGAAAAGAGGGAAGTTTGTAGAAATGAAGTGGGGTATAAATAAAGACCAATGATTACTGTGAATGGAGTGATGGTCTGCAAACCACTAAACAAGTGTGAAACCGGCCACTCTTACATCTAAGTAAACACTAATCTGCTGAACATCAACCAAATGACATTGAAGTGTCTGGCAGTCTCTACTGTGACAAGCTATAAATAAATACATTGGTTTCTGGTTTCATTATGGCTTCACTAACTTGATTTATACATTGTAAATAGTTTATAATTAATTTTATTGGAAAGAAAAACATGAAATTTAATTGTTCAGTTAAAAAATATACTTGGTTTATATATTGATTATGATCAGTAAACATAGAAAGATATCAAAATTGATTAATAACCAATTATCTGTTAAAAATTTTAAAACAATTTCTTTTTTCATTGTTGAAAAGTTTTTATTTGTTTTATTTTTTCAATTTTCAATACTGTTTTTAATTTTTATCAGTATTAAAAATTGTTCTTCTTAAATTTATTTTAAAATTTTTATTGCAAATTTAAAAAAATTTTTAGTTAATTTTTATTTGAGTTTTCTCACTATGGATTTTTTAAAGTGTTTGATTTTTCCTTTTGTAATAGGCCCAAAGATTTGCATGGAACCAAATTATGTGAATTTCAAAATCGTTAATCTTGGCAAAGAAGCTACTGGTTCAATACAACTAGTCAACCAGACAAACATACCTGCAAACTATCAGGTAGGTGCACTATCAGATAAGTTTTGTATACTTTAATGTGTTTCTGATACAATCAGTTCTGCTGTCATTTTCAGTTGTATGGCACTTGTCAAGTACTTCATCTGTGAAGGATAGAAACTGGAAATAACAAGTGGCTAATAAAATAACTTCTTAATCACAAAACAAAGAAGAAAAAACTTGACCAAATTCTGTGAATTCTTTGGTATTAGCCATGATAACAAGTACATCATTCTGCTTCTTGTATTGGGAAAAGCTGAGAAAAAAGGAGAACGAAATCCTTTTTCTTGTTTTAAGTATTGAATATGATTAAAAAAAAAAAAATATAAAATGAACAGATTAGACCAGTGGGTCCCAAATGGTGAAGTGTATCCCATATGTGCAGCAGAAGATAGCAGGTGAGGCAGGATGATTGAAAAACAATTAAAGATTTAGAAACAGTTTCAAAAAATTGATATGCCAAAAATAAATATGATTTCAAAATTTAAAAAAATTATTATGGATTACTTGTAATTGCATGAGTCCCAGTATAAATAGGTAGAAATAATTATTAACCGATTTTATCATTGTGATATTTTTGCATTATATCAAGTATTAAGAATATAGTAAGTAGGGTTTACAAATTGAAGGAGAGAGTTATCAATGATAAATTATGACTTTGAATCCAGTTATCTCCCTTTAATCATTTCTCTGTTTTTTATTTTTAAATGTACGTTTTATGATATAGAATTTGGTAAGGCACGAACAATTTTTCATTCTGGAAATGTGGCCCTGAGAAAAAATTTTGGGAACCACTGGATTAGACATTTTCTTTTTCAGTTTTTTTTTTTGTTTTTGTTTTTATTGGTGTACAAAAATCATTTGTAACAGAAGTCCAGCAATGATGAAGGATATAATTTATTGAATATTAACCACGCATATCAAAATCTTAGACAAAACCTGGAAATATGAGTTTTGGTCAGAGACTCAGTAAAGAAAGAGTTGCTCAAAATATCTTAATATTCTTGTGTTATACATGAACTTGAAAAATAACCATTTAAAATATATTTAGATATTGAAACTTAACACGAAACTATTTCTTTACTGATCAATAAAAAAAACTAAATATTTGATAGTGAACTTGGAATTTGATTATTGTGAGAAAGAAATAATTTTCAAATTTTAATCTGTGTTCTTTAGCAGTAATGTTTCATGTGTTCTTTAAAATTGATCACTGTTGAAAAAAGAAATGAATGACCTAGAAAAATGCTTCTTCAAATACAAAAGAAGGGAATAATCCTTGTCTATCTTGAATCACATTGTATAATGAAGACGGAAATCTTGTGTGTGTTGTTGGAAAGAGGGGCAGTAGAAAATGTTATAAGATGTCTTTGTTCAGGTGATGGCATCTCTTACTCAAAACCTGAGTGAATCCCCTGAAAGAAATTGTTTTATATAATAGGAATAATGCTTTATTTTTTGGATTCAAATAAGAAAAGAAATATATAATAATTTAAAATTTGCTTATTTTTGGCAGAATCATTCAAAATGTTGGCGATAAAGCATTTGTAGATATAAACAGTATGGACAGGGAATTCAACACTGCATGTGTGTATATTTTGTATGTATTAATAAAATATCATTGATTAGGCTGATAATATGGATGTTATCAACCTAATCAATGATATTTAATGTGCATGTTTCATTATAGGAAAATGATGATATTCATTAGTTTCACCTTTGTGCTTTGTTGGTGTTTCTGGGATGCTCTTTCGAAAGTAGCCATCAACTCTTAGTCAGAGTGAAAGTGTAATGAATAGAAAAGGAAGCAATATCATTGCTTTATAAGCACTCCTTAAAGTTGATTGCCAGAACTACCAGTAACATTGAAGTGACACTAGGTAAAAGGTAAACTAGATTCCTTCCATACTTCTACACATGAAACACAAATCTCAGTCTAATCTGATTGTTTTATGTAAAATACTTCAGCAAAAATAAATTCAATTTTATTTCATTAAGATAACTAGAATAACAATATATACACAGACATCTCCATGTGTGTATTTTAATTGCTTTGCCATTTTTAGATAAATATAAAAAACATTATATGATATTTTTTGTATAATTTCGTTTTGAGAATGCGAGTGTTTGGATTTTGTAATTATCATGACCTGTTTCAAGACTGCTGCAATTATCAATGTGCTGATTTGATTTCTTCCACTTGACAAGAAGTAAAAAAAAGTATACTTTTTATTTTCTTTATGAATAAATCTTTTCCAGTTTATCACCAAAGTAGTGATCTAAAAGATGTAAGATAGTCTATTTGCCACAGTTACCATTTAACTGAATGAGATAAAAATATCTCAGATAATCTTCATTTGTTACTTAAAGAACAAATATTATATATGATTGAAATTATGCATGGGCATAGCAGCTACAATTATGGTAAATTCATCTAATTCATTCAGAAAGCTGAATATATATGCAAGATAGAAATTCTTAAATCTGTTGGCATCATATAATTCTTACAAAACAGATCTCCCATCTTATCTGAGGCCAGTCTCAAGTGGATTATCCTGGTTGTGATCATGGTCTCCTATACTGGATGTTTGATCTTTGGACTGTTGATTTAATGGGAGTTAATTGCAGCAATTATTATCATAACTTGGATTGGTCAGAGATAAATTAGGATTTCAGAGAGTGGGTTATATTGATGCCTGTTTTGAGTCATCTATAAAAGCTTCAATAAAGAGACTTGATTGCTATAAAGGTCAAAAAGGAGATCAGAATATGGAATAAAGAAGAGATGTTTCTGTTGGACAAAACATCAAGATGAACAGTAATTAAATGCTTCAAGTTGATATTCTTAAAAGGAATTATAACTGATGTATGTTTGATCAATAAAGTGCCTCAAAGCCGCGATTAATGAATAGATTTTTGCAATTGCTTCAGTTCAAAAAAAAAAGAAAAGTGAACACATGCATTGAAACCAGTGTTAGGCTACAGCATACCACTTTTGTAAAATTGCCTAAGATAAGCATATTGAGTACTTTATCAAGATGCAAAATACTTTGAAGCACCCATTACAGATTATAAAAGGTGGTTAATTTCAACACTGAATTAAGAGCAAAAGATTTTATCAATATTGGAGATAAATTAGTGGCTATTTACATTGCTTGGACTGTTTTCCTCATCTTTGTTGTTGTATTCACAACATTTTGGTTGTTGTATGCTCCGGCCTTTTTAAGCTGATGGGAATTTTGAACTGATCTCTTTATTTCATCCATGGGTATAGATTATTCTAGTTGCACATGTCATGCCTCTTCTGGATATCTCAGTTTGTTATTTTCCTTAGTAACTCAACTCTCCAAGTTATTGTTCACCTTTGCTGTGGACAGGTATTGAACTTGCAGCTCTTCGGGTCAAGTCACTGGATTACTTCCACCAACACCTTTATCCACTAAGCCATGTGTTAATGAAGATGAAGACAACAGTACTAACATAGTAAATAGTTACAATACCTCATTTCAGAAATATAGATGGATAAATTAGTGAATGAATTTGATAGACATAATAGTGTTTAATGACATGTGTATAGCAGCTATTGGTACAGAAATGATATTGGCATGTTGATTTCAAAATTTAACTGAGGCTGTTGCATTTGCTTTTGTACAGATATCTTTACAAAGGTATGAATTCATGCCCTCTCTCCAGATTAATAACAGGCCATACTAAACTCTTATCTTTGGTTGGAAACCAGCCTAGAGGAAGTATATCTCAATTCAAAACTGGTTAGGTATTGGATGAACAACACCATCCCATAAAAACGTACTTGCTATGCAAACCACAACAGTAATGCTTAGCAGGCAGTGGCTCAATACTCCACAGGCAAATTTATAGTGCTAATATATATATACAACAATGATGTTCTATAAGATTTTGTTTAGTGGAGCACTATAAATGGTTTGTCATATACTTGAGTGTTATCTTTTTAATTTTATCATCATAATTATCAGCAGTAATATCATGCTTATCCATAAGAGAAGGTAATTTATGTTTATATGCTTCTGCTAACATTCATTACATCATATCATCAGACTATAGGAATTGTATGTGGCACTGACAATCTCTAATTATTTTGACTGGTTTTTTATTATTAGATCAACAATGATGTCGAGAGTTCACATTGTGTTGTACAAACTATGAATAATTATAAAAAATTGCAAGGGTACCATTAGGCTTTCAGGAGTTGGAGAGAACTACTGTCTGCCATGGATTGTCTTTTTCTTCTCAAAAAATTTGGACGAGTTTGTACAAACTCTAAATTTGATTTTGCTCCATCAAATATTGCTTTTGTTTCTGATATTGAAAGATTTTATATTTTCTTCTATAGTTTCAACAAATTTGATAATTGGGATAGTCTCCAATTTTTATGAATGCAATGTCAACATACTCTATAATATTTTGAGAGGTAAGAAATATATAAAAAGCAGCAGGAAAATAATTGAAAAATCTCAGACATGTTAGGGTTTGTTTGCCCATTATAATTTATAAAATATTAGTAATTTAGAGGATTATTCTCTGTGCATCCAATTAAAAGGCTTGATGTTCCCCCCACTCAAAATGAAACTTGAAACTGCTCTTGCTGATAAGTGAATCAAACTTTTAAAGTCCAAATTACATTTCAAAAAATTTTAATTTATAGCTGACCTGTATGAAATATACATGAATTCATCAAATAACATGCATTTATGATAATTTGTTGGAAGGTTATTTCCAGTTAAAAGATTTGCAGTAAAACCTATCTTGAATGTTTATTGCTTACAGTTAAAAATTTTCTCTAAATTTCTTGCTAAGTTTCCTAACAGTGCATCATACTTCAACGCCAATAACTTTGCTGTTTTTCATGAACCACTGAGAAATGCCATTAGTCATTGTTTACATTTGTCTACTTCTATGTTGTGATTACTAATCATAATTTTTTTTCTTTTATGATGATCAATACACAGTTTACTCATCTAAAGAAATAGTAATTGTCTTTTAAGGAATACATTTTAAAA